GAGGTTTATAAGCAGGGCTTCAGGCAGGGAGGGGGAGCAGAGAGAGAAGAATGAAAAATTCCTGAGGAAGGGTGAGGTCGCTTTGGTCCCAGGCCCCTGCAGCTAACTGATTAGCACGTACTATAGGAAGTTGTACAGCCCGAGGTTAGGCCAGGAACCTGTTTTTTGCAAGGTTTGATAAAGTAAGGAAGGTCACACAAAATTCAAGACGCAGCTGTCCGGGGTCAGCCCCCAACAGTTCCCCCCCTTTTCTCAAAAATGGATGGGGTGGCTAGGGTCTGAGAGAGCCCCTGTCTTAGGCTACACAGGGGGCTTCCCACGCTCGGCAGCGTGCCATGTTGAGCCGGTCTCGACGACCTCTGTCCGGCATGGGCCCTGTACTATTCCCGTCATTGGGTACCCTCTAGCAAGACCATGGGGACGTTAGGGCCTTAGGACACTGAATCTGAGTCTTTGATGGGGCTCCTGGCTGGCCTCCTCAGAATCTACTCTGTGATAATGAATCGAGACGTGTCGTGGTAAGGCCGAATTAATCTGATTTTTGATAAACTGAGTCAACCGCTGAAAGGCCCAGGGACCAAAGGTAAACTCCCTTTTTCTTTGGGCTAGCCTTTCCCTTAATTTTTCCATCGATTCCCTGACAATACCAGTATGGTCGGCATAAAAGCAGCATTCTTCCTTCAAGGCTGCACATAATCCCCCCTCCTTTAAAAATAGTAAATCCAGACCTCTTATGTTTTGTAACACAACCTCAGAGAGTGAGGTTAAAGATTTCTCCAGAGCAGAAATGGATCTTTCTATGGCCTCTAGGTCAGTAGTCATAGCCATTTGTAACTGCATAAGGTGGTTGCTCTGCATGAGGGCAGTAGTTCCTGTACCAATTCCTGCAGTGATGCCCCCAACACCTAACAATAGGGCAATAGTCATAGACATAGGTTCTCGAGTGTATCTGTCTCTCTGCTCAAAGAATTCCATATCAGAGACTAATTGGACCAGAACATAAGAGTTTTCCCATTATCAATGGCAAAGCGAGCTTCTCCTTATTTAGTTTTTGCCATCTGCAAGTGTGTCATGGGTTCAGAGGTGGATATTGGAATTCTAGCATCCTCAGTTTAGTGGTACCCAGACATGAATCATCATTTAGTTAAGACATCAGTGATATAAGAGCCAACAATAATAAGCAGAAGCACAAGGGCCAAAAGCCTTGTGATGGCTGACAGAGTTCCTTATCCTCAAGGAACTTGGAACTTTATCTCAGGTTCCCTATGACAAGAAATTCCCTTTTGATCTAACATTCTGGGGGGGCGGGAAACAAGGGCGATGTTTTCTCTTCTGTAATTACTTCCTGCTGACATTGGGGTGTTGTTGTCAAGGCCCTGGAAAGCCAGAATGTTAGTCAAAGACAAGAGGGAACGTTCTATTGACCAGCTGAAGAGATGGTATGCATATCGGCTGAATTGGTCCATATCAGCTTTCAGCAAGTTCAGGGCTCACAGTCATTTGCAGTAGGTTGTCACCAGCAAATGATGCTAGGATGTATCTGTCAGCCAAGTGGAAACCTGTTGAGATACATATAAACTAGGAACAGGAGTTAAAACTTATGAACTTATTTGGAACTTTTAGACCCATAGTCTTAGTAATTGTAGTATTATCAATTTGCCCTGAAATCCATAGTGTCCTTTCCATCCAGACAGCCAAGTATAGACTGGACTGAAACTTCCTTGGCCCAATGAAATGCATCTGTAAGTCTATATTTAGAACCTGTTTATCTTTTTTAAAAAGACTTATTAGCTTTAATTAATTAATCCATTTGATCAATCAATTACTAAGCTGAGAAAGCTATAGCTAGTCTAGTCATCAATGTCATCAAAGATCTGAGAAGGATAAACTTTACCTGAGTGCAGACTTTTAAATCTATTTAAAAAAAACAACATAGACTATCCATAACCCAGACTGTCATCATCCCAGGCTCCTATAGTCTTCATAGTGTTGGCAGGACAGGTGTCAGGACAGCATCAGTCTTGGCTGCTGGGCCCATAATGTGAAATTCTCCCTGTTGAGGAGCAACTTGGTAAAAACTGACCTTATCTTGTCAGTGTCTCATAGGCCAGATCCCTGGCAGCAGGTGTTGAGTCAGAGTGTCTTGCCCAGTGGTCGGTGTTGTCCGCAATTCAGGTGGCATCTTCTTGTCATTGCTCCATATCTTTTTTGGAGACCTTGGGAGTCATTGCTAGGAGCTGGGGAGCTTGGAGTCTCTGTTTGCTATAGTAAGCTTTTTATCAAATAATGTAAATGCCATATTTAACAGATCTTTGACAGGTTTGAGGACCATTATCTATTAAATGTATCTGAGCCAAAAAATCTAGGCCCAATCTTGAAAATATCTCTAAGTTTGGTAACAATAACCAGGCAAATTTGTTCTCTTATAGATATATTAGTGAAATATACCTCTCAGGTTTTTTGTTTTTTTTTTGTTTTTTTTTTGGTTTTTCGAGACAGGGTTTCTCTGTGCAGCTTTGCGCCTTTCCTGGAACTCGCTTTGGAGACCAGGCTGGCCTCGAACTCACAGAGATCCGCCTGGCTCTGCCTCCCGAGTGCTGGGATTAAAGGCGTGCGCCACCACCGCCCGGCTTGTTTTTTTTTTTAAAATAGAACAGTTTATGCTTTAAACTAGTATCTGAATAGCCAGATGACTAGTATTAACTTGTATTCCTTAACATAAAGGACATGCAAACTCAGACATTCAAAACCAAACATACATGTGGCCACATTTTTCATTCATACCTGTAGAGTAGACAGACATTTTTACAACTATGACCCTTTGGAGTCTCAATGTAACAGCAGAATAGCAAGACAAAGAAATCTGAAACATGTTTCATTTTTTTTTTATATATCTCAAGTCATTCTTTTTTTTCTTAAATCATTATTTAAGCCTTTTTATCCTCAGACCTTTATACCTTGCTTTTACGTATTCTAATAACTTGCATTTTATATATTTTTTAAAACATTTTTTTTTATCTTAACCAACAATAATTTGAAACCAGTTCTCTTAAATGATGGCAAGTATTTGTAACCCATTGAACTCAAATGACCAAAACTCATGTAAATTTTTATTTTTCCTGTGGAAACAAAAGCATAATTTTCCCAGTATCTTGAACTGATAATTTAACATTTCTTTTTAAGCAATATCAGGACAGAGAAGGGTTAACAAGAGAAGCTGCTGGCCGGCAGAAGAGACCTTGAAGTTATCACAGTAAAGAAAGGGAAGGAGGCCGGGCGGTGGTGGCGCACGCCTTTAATCCCAGCACTCGGGAGGCAGAGCCAGGCGGATCTCTGTGAGTTCGAGGCCAGCCTGGACTACCAAGTGAGTTCCAGGAAAGGCGCAAAGCTACACAGAGAAACCCTGTCTCGAAAAACCAAAAAAAAAAAAAAAAAAAAAAAAAGAAAGGGAAGGGGAGCAGTGGGCATAGAGCATGTGCTTGGCTGCCAGTGTTCCTGAAAAAAAAGTTTTTGTTAACTCCTCTGACTAAAGTCAGATTCTCTGCTCAGAGTTCACACAGTTTTTGTCAATTGCAAGCAGTCCCCATTGCCCTGTCCAGAGCTCCTGTCTTTGCCCGCCTGTACGGAGAGCACGCACACCCACCCTCGTGAGAGCAGCCAGCTGGCTGCAGTCCTGATAGCAAGAGAGCTAGGGAGGGACGGAGGTGGCCTTAGTTATGCCTCTCTTTCCTCCTCTTCCTTTAGGAAAATAAGGGAGGTTAGTAGACAGAAACAAATAACATTTACACAGACAATCCAAGAACCGGAACATCAGCACTGAGACGAAGGCCTCATTCACAGCCAGCAAGTCCCTCTTACAGTATGCAAGCCCCACCTGGCAGGAGCTACCTGTTTATCTCAGTTCAATCGGGGAGTGGGGGTGGGGAACCCAGTTCCCTCTATTGTGGCTCACACATTCTTCCAGTGGGCTAGGCAAAGGTCTAGTGGAGAAGAAGGGAACTGTCCCATAGCGTCCGTCACAGTCAAGTCAGCAATGAGAACAGTTAATACATTACACACAAGACCAAGGACACACGAAAAAACTTTGCCCCAACAAAACAACCAACAAAGCTCCAAGAACAATGATAGCCTGATGTGCTCTGGAGGGGGGGGTAACCCTCCAGGCTCAATCACATCAGAAACAATCCAGACTCGAGGATCTCTGTCCTTAATCAAACAGACATCAGGGGCTTCCACATCTCTGTCAGTCAGACATGCACCTTTTTCTTTTTCTTGGAAGAGAAGGAGAGAGTAAAGTAACAATGATCACAACAAAACATACAAAAAAACCCACAAAATGGCTCTGACAATTTCCCAGGACAAAATACAAAGTGGCACTTCCTCCCACTGTGGGGGAAGATACCCAAAGATGCTCCTAAACCAAATGGTCACCTCTGAGGTGGCTCTGGGACGTCTCCCTTTGCCGCCAGGTTCACTGTCCGGACACGTCTGTCCCAGTGAGAGCCTGCAAAGTACAAATCAAGCCTACAAAGTACAAAACAAAAGTAACAAGACAGAGAGACACAGACAAGACAGAGAGCGCTCATACCGGTAGATGTCAATAAACCTCTGGACCCTTGGGTGTCAGGCAGGGGGAGTTTGAGAGAAAATCCTCTGCGAGGGCTAGTAAATGTGAAACACGCCCATCTCCCTCTGCTTCCTTTAGAACATCTCTAATCACACCATAAAAACTAAAAAAGGCATCAGGGACATTTTCCCATCTCTGATTAATTTGTTAATATCTTTTCCAACCTTGTTCCAAGTCAAAGGGTGAATTCCCGGTCCATTAATCACTAACCAGGGACATTTCTCCTCCACATATTGGAAGAATTTTATCAAATCCTTTTTCTTTTCTTTTTTTTTTTTTTTTGTTTTTTCGAGACAGGGTTTCTCTGTGTAGCTTTGCGCCTTTCCTGGATCTCGCTCTGTAGACCAGGCTGGCCTCGAACTCACAAAGATCCGCCTGCCTCTGCCTCCCAAGTGCTGGGATTAAAGGCGTGCGCCACCACCGCCTGGCCTCAAATCCTTTTTCTTAACTCTTATTCCTCTCTCCCTAAGATTACCTTTCATCTCCTTGAGAAAAACAGCCTCTTTAGATAAATTTTTGCCCATGATCGATGGGACGACATACTTACCTCAAGACTCTCCCGCGTTGCACGAGTGATGCAGTCCGGGCGTCTCTACCCTGATCCTCTCCGGGGCCCCTTCCATTGTCCGTCATCCGGCAGGTCACCGTGCCTCGAGCCCCACGTTCGGGCGCCACTTGACCCGTCCCGCGGGCCAGGTTATTGGGGAGACCCGAGGAGGCACCTCCTGAAAGATCAATGGGGGCGAGAGAGAAGGGAGACCAGGCGCAATAAGGGAAGACAGAGTCAGTCTGAGTCGCATCAAGGTCTCGTTTATTGACTGGGTATTGAGGTTTATAAGCAGGGCTTCAGGCAGGGAGGGGGAGCAGAGAGAGAAGAATGAAAAATTCCTGAGGAAGGGTGAGGTCGCTTTGGTCCCAGGCCCCTGCAGCTAACTGATTAGCACGTACTACAGGAAGTTGTACAGCCCGAGGTTAGGCCAGGAACCTGTTTTTTGCAAGGTTTGATAAAGTAAGGAAGGTCACACAAAATTCAAGACGCAGCTGTCCGGGGTCGGCCCCCAACAGTTCCCATGTCACAATCAGAACTTCTCCAGAACACAGACAGACCCATTCTACATCACTGAGGATGGTCCCTCCTCGGGCTGACCCTAGACTATGCACACTAACTACTCCAGCCCACCAGACAAAGGGGACATGTATGGAGATGGCTCACAGGCAGTGGCCAGACACCCGGGCTTCTCAGCAGCAGCAGACACCACATTGTCTTCTTAGAGAAAAGCTTGGACCTCGTGAGCAAGCCCAGGCCAGGGTACTAGTGGCTGAGTCCCACCAAAAAGAGAAGAGTATGATTCTCCAGAGGGCAGCCACTCCAAAAGAAACTGTTCCACAAGTAAACCAGTGGGGGTAGGGGGAGTCAGGGAGCCTGCCTGAGAACCAGATGAACAAGGACCTATCTACAGTCCACCCACATCCAGCTCAGCCCACCTCATTAGAAGATACACAAGAGACTTGTCACTGGGGGCTATAGGCAGATGGCAAGAGGCACACAGACCACTAGCCCTCTGGGAAATGCAAACAAGGAGATGCCTATCTCCCTACACCAAATGCTGGCGAGGCGCGAAACCCCATGCGGCTGGTAGGAATGAATGAGAAATGGCACGGGCTCTCTGTAAAGCAGCCTGGCTGATCCTTACCAAAGGAAACAGGCAGCTTAGGACGTAGCAACTGCATTCCCGAGTGATAATAGGCAAGCTCCGCAAGTTGCACACTGGACAATTACATTTGTCTAACATGTTGACAGCTGAGTCTAAAAGGGGGAGGGGAGGCGACAGATCAGTGGTTTGCTTGAGGTCTGAGACGCCGGCTTCTCCAGCATCGGAGACCCTAACGTTGTATACTAGTCACGCAAAATGGCGTCCCCAGGGAGACTCAGCCAAACACAAAGCAGTTCTCCATTATTTCTCCCTAACTGATTGAATTGCAACGATCTCAAAGCGCGGTGGGGCACACCTATAATCCCAGGGCTCGAAAAAGGTTGAAGCAGGAGATTGCTAGTTCTAAGATAAAAGCCAGGAGCCAGGGATCAAGAACAGAGCGGAGGAGGTCTGAGCCAGGCTTTGACTGGGGAATCAGTCGGGTCCAGGGCGGCCACATGCCGTGCACACTGGGCATCTGCCGTCCCGGGAGCTGATGGGCAGAACAAGTGACAAGCCCGAAGACTAAGAAACACGACCCGAGGACTGCAGAACTGCTCGGAACCCTGAGAAGAGGAGGCGTCTCTGCGCCGTGAACGCCGGGAGAAAAGCGCCGCCAGCTGTCCAGAAGTCTGCACAGCCGCAGACACCTCCTTGGCATCGCCTCAAGCTATGCGCAAGGCCGCAGCTGCAGCACCGCCACAGAGAGGTCGGGCCGCGCTTCCTAGAGCGGCCCCGAAGGGGCGGGGAGAGGTGGGCGGGTCTACGGAGCCGAGCGCAGCACCACAGAGAGGCCTGGCGACGGCGCCTAGAGCGGCGCCAGAAGGGCGTGAATGAAAGGGCGGGGCTACCGAGCACGCGGTGCTACCACCGAGAGCCCCGCAAGGCTCCTAGAGAGGTACCGGAGACGGCTTAGAACGGTGGGCGGGGCTATGGTGCGCGCGGCAGCACCACCGAGAGGCCGGGGAAGGTAGAGCGGCACCAGAGGGGCGGGCGCCTTCAGGCGCGGGAGAGGCGGGAGTGGCGGGTCAAGTGGGGATTGTAACCGTTGTCTGCCCGCCCGCCTGCCCACGGCCAAGTTCAGCCGGCATCTGCGCCCGACACCCACCAGGTACCTTCTGCCTGCGCGCTCCGTGTCCCCGGCCTAGCGAAAGTCGGCTTCTGGGTCTTCTCTCCGTGGGGCGCCAGCCACTCGGCGGTATTGCGGAGGTCCCGGAGGCGGGGAAGGTGGGGCGGGCTTCCTATCAAAGCCCCTTGCTGTGGGGTGCCTTGAGCTCCGAGTCCCGCCGGGTCCAGCAGCACTTTGATGGACCTGAGCCGTTAGGCCCGCTGAATTGAACTAAGTTGTCTGATTGACTCGCACCCACTTTGTGCACGGGCCTGAGAGGGGAGGGGGGCAAATGAGATGGTCGCTGTGGTCTGCTGTGGTGTTAATGACTGTTTTCAGTTTTCAGTAAGGATGAGCCTTGGTGAACAAACGCCAGACACCTGAGGCCTGCTTGTTACGCCTCTCACCAAAGTGATGGTGTTTGAATTGGTACTGAGCTTGGATGCTGTCAGATAAGGACTCTCTCAGACGTCTCCTCCTGAGCTGTCCCACAAAAGACAAACGCTTTCGGATGGTGACGTTCAGACTCCGAATCCAGATAAGAACTTTATCTGCTGGGTTAGGTATGCAGGCATCAGTGTAATGCTTAGAATAAAACACCGTGTGCTCCCAAAGTGACAGTTGTGTTTTTGGACAGGTGTGGGAGCTCTAGATGGGAGTGCCGACATAGCCCACCCCTTTAGGCCTCCAGGGGTGAAGGGGATGGTGCAGGTTTAGAGATAAAGAGAGGTCACATAGAGAAAGGCTCATTGGCACAAGGGACAGCCTTTGGGGGTGTGATGGGGTTTGCTGGTTGCTGTGGATTATGAGGACAGCCCTGAGTTTTCCAGGCAGTATATAATGGAATTACCTCTTGCTGCAGGGTACATGCACAGTCCCAATGTGGGCAGGTGGAGAGGATAAGGATGGGCAGGGAAGTTTCCACTTGGGGAGGTGGGAAGTGGCCATGATAGGGAGTTCTGTGGGGTGAGTGAAAACCTTGTTCTCAGGCCAAGGAGTGTCTCCTGGTCAGTGGCTGAGTTAGTGAGAGCGCCACTCAAAGAGATGAGCATGCTCTGGATCAGTGAAGTGGGCTGGAGTTCTGGGGAGTCCACGTTAGTCTGAGATACTCATCAAAGGACAGTGGAGGGACTGCAGCCCCAAGAACTGCCTTTGACCTGTTGTTAATGCTTTTGTCTCCAGAAACAAAAGGACAGTGGTTCTATCTGCTTGGTGCCAAAATGCAGCTTCATAAGCAGGATGTGGTGAGCTGTCCCCGACAGAGTGAAGTCACAAAGAAGCCAGGCAGCCACTAGCTGGGAGCCCTCAGCCTTCCCTGGCTTCCAGGGTGTTTTCCACTTCCTAGGAGCAGCAATGGAAAAGCCTGCAGGCAGGAAAAAGAAGACCCAGACCCCCAAAGAGGAAGCAGGTGCTCAAAAGGCCACTGCCAAAGGGGAGAAAGCACCACGGGGGAAAAAGCCAACCAAGAGGAGGCCCCGGAAGCCCCGCAAACAGACTGTCCTGAGTCCCGAAGACGAGGCGCATATCTTTGATGCCTTCGATGCCTCTTTTAAAGATGACTTTGAGGGTGTCCCCGTGTTTATTCCTTTTCAGAGGAAGAAGCCCTATGAGTGCGGTGAGTGCGGACGAATCTTTAAACACAAGACAGATCACATTCGCCACCAGAGAGTTCACACTGGAGAGAAGCCCTTTAAGTGTGACCAGTGTGGGAAGACCTTCAGGCACAGCTCAGATGTCACCAAACATCTGAGAATCCATACCGGTGAGAAACCCTTTAAATGTGGGGAGTGTGGAAAGGCCTTCAACTGTGGCTCCAATCTTCTGAAACACCAGAAAACGCACACTGGAGAGAAGCCTTATGGCTGTGAGGAGTGTGGAAAATCCTTCGCCTACAGCTCCTGCCTCATCCGGCATCGGAAGCGTCATCCGAGGAAGAAGCACTGAGCAGGGCAGCCGACAACTGTAGATCTTTTTCAAACATCAGATGTTGGTCTAGGTTTCCGATGCAGTATGCTACTGATGGCTCATGTGACTGCCTCTCCCTGTCATCGAAAGGAGAACCCACCCATCAGACCTAAGAACCCACAGAGGCCTTCTGCCCTGTGAGTCCTCACTTGGTGGTAACACGGTGCTCCCCGGGGCTTCCTGCAGCTCCAGACGTTTTCCAGACTACTTCATTCTACTCAGGACCATCTTTGGAACAGCTTTGGGTCACCGAGAACTTACAGCTAAAGAGACACCCCTGTTGGCGAGGGCCACTGCCTCCCTCTGCTGCCTCTGTCTGCATCATCCACTGTGTGATGATCAGTTCTTTTGAAGGCTCCTGGCTCTGGATACCTGGCCCCATGAAGTCTGCTAGGGGCAAGGACCCCTGAGGTGGATGGCAGGCAGCACTGAGCAGCTCTGAGGACCCAGCTCCCCGTGGACAGCACCAGAGCTTGTTCCTCTCTGCAGCTAACTTTGGTGATCTCGAAATTTCTCTCTTGCTGAACCAACAGTCTCTGAGCTCAGCCCCAGTGCCTGAAACTGGACTGCACTGTGTACCCTTGTCCCAGCCACCATCGTAGACAAGTAGCCTGGACTCAAAGTGGCCTCAGTGGACCCTTGCACCCTACCATAGTGGTAGATTGTTTAGGCTAGGCCTTGTAGCTCCAGGGTGTCAGCAGCAGCTTCCACCCACTGTACCTTCAGAAACAACTGTGGCCCTGCCCCGTGGCAGCCCACCATTCAGGTCAGCTCCACTTCCTGCCTGTGGTTGTGCCTGCCCTCTGTCCCAGGTGCTCTATGAGGTCTGTGTTCTAAGGACAGCAAAGTGACTGCTGACCAGAAGGGTAAGTTGAGGGAAAGTTGGCAGAGATTTGGACTTAAAAAAAAAAAACAACCTAGTAATAGCTTTAGTCTTTGAGGACTCTACCCTGAAAGAAGAGTCCCCAGCCAGAACTCGAGATGGGTTTGTCAATATATAAAGAAACCACGAGAAATAAATGATGTGAGGTAGCTATGCTCCCTGGTAGGAATGTTTTACCAGGTGTGGTAGTTAATCTTCATGGCAACCTGACCGGGTAGAGGGTCAGCTAGGAGACATGCAGGTGTGTCTGTGAGGGTGTTGCCGGGGAGACTGAACTGAAGAGACAGCTCAGCAGGTAAAGGCACTTGCTTCAGAAGCCTGGCAGTTGAGTTCAGTCCTGGAACCCGTGTAAAAGTGGCAACAGAGAGCCAACTCCTCAGAATTCCTCTGACCCCCACCTGCACACAGCAGCAGTAGACACAAGAGACCTGAAAGAAAAACTTGAGCGTTCATCTCTCTGCTTCCCAGTTACAGGCAGTGTGACCAACCATGACACACTCCCCACCATCATGGCCTATATCCCTGCAAACCAGGAGCCAAGGAAACCCTCAGGTTGCTCTTTTCCAGACAGTTGCTACAATAATGAGAAAAATAACAAATATACCAGGTTAGTCGTCCTTTTTCTAAAAGCTGAAGTGAGCACCGAGTGTCTCTGGTACCGTCTGGGCACTGGCCTAGCCAGGTTTGCCGATGCACTCTCAGGAAGTGCAAGCTGAGGCTGCAGTTGGACCAGGGGCAGAACATTTCACGTGGAAGTCTTCCCACACTACTGTCCTTGTGCAGGCAACCCCAGGAGTATTGTACCAGACTTGATCCCCGAGGGAGAGCATGGCTTAATCTAATATGAAATCCAGTAGGTGAAATTGTGAGAAAATGGGCATCAGCTGGTGTAGATGTCTACAAAACACACTCAGGCACCTTGTCCTGGGTTCGAGGAGTTGCACACAGCTGGGACATTGGAAACCAGGGGTGTTAGCTGGTGGGAAGGCACAGCCCCTAACCCCATCCTTAAGGATGTGTGGGAAGGTTTCAAGGTACAGAGTCAGGATTTCCTCTGTATTGAGAGGAAACCAAAGAGAGTGTGTGTTCACTAGGGCCACTAGGCAGGGTGACCCGGTGCCATTCCTCGTGGGTCCGGGTCAGGGACTAGCAACATTTTATGTAAAGGGCCAGATTTGTTTTTGTCTTTGCAGCTACACAGCCACTCACCTGTGCCACATATTGTCACAGCCCTTACAGATGGCACAGCATGAGTAGTCTGGCCATGTGCTAAGCAGACTTGTCAGAGAGAGGTGCTGCCATGGTTTGTTTGCCAACCTTTCAGTTTGTTTATTGAGACAGGGTCTCAACTCTATCCCAGGTTGTCTTGGATCCCCCTGTGTAGCCTGGACTCAAACTCACAGTGCTCCTGCCTAAGCCTTTGGAGTACAGGCATAATCCATCAGACATGGTTAAAATAGATGCCAAAGTGCTCCCTTGTGGTTTGTTTTTACTTTGTTTGTGACAGTGTCTTGACATGTAGCTCAGACTGAGAACTAACTATATAGCCCAGTTATATAGTTGGCCTTGAACTCACCATAAACCTCCTGCTTCAGCCTTCAGAGTTCTGGGATTTAGAGTCATGCACCCCACACCTGGTTTCTGATCCATATTCTTTTTTTTTTTTTTTTTTTTTTGGTTTTTCGAGACAGGGTTTCTCTGTGTAGCTTTGCGCCTTTCCTGGTACTCGCTTTGGAGACCAGGCTGGCCTCGAACTCACAGAGATCCACCTGGCTCTGCCTCCCGAGTGCTGGGATTAAAGGCGTGTGCCACCACCGCCCGGCTCTGATCCATATTCTTAATGAGGAAAATGAGAGTTTGAGGCACAGAGAGCTTGCAGGCTGTTGCTTCGAGCTTTCCATAGGCTTAGTCCTTCAAAGCTAGATGGTGGTCAGACAAGCCAGCTAAGGATGCTGGGGTCCCCAGATGCAGGAGCTGGACAATGTGCCTTCTGCAGTTGGATGTTCCAGGAGGAGGACAGTGTGGACGGACACCGAATCTACAACAGCCCAACTCAGTCAAACACAACCCACGGGGTGCCTGCATGGTCTGATTTGATTGGTGGAGTACTCTGATGACACCTGTCATTGGTAGTGAGAAGTGTCGCTTTGGGTGGATGCATAAGGAGCCATTGACTTAGAGAAACAGAGCTGACCTGACTCGGCCTGAGCTGCTCCCTAACCTGGCCGGGTGGACTGTTTCTGGATTAGGTTACAAATAATTCCTTGATGTCTTTTCCACATTTTAGGATGCACAGGACAGAGCCCAGACACAGAATGCCATGTAGTCAAATACTTGCCCGCCTCAGGCTGGCCCTGGAAAACACCTGCAGCAGTGCCTGGGAGGCAGAGTCCAGTCAGCCCTCCAGCGAACAGGTGTGTTCACGGTCATTGTTCTGCTTTTGTGGTCCTGGGGATGGAAGCCAGGGTCTCGTGAGCACTAGGCCAATGCTCTACCACTTAGCTGTGCCCCAGCCCAGGGTTCTTGGAAAAGAAGAATTAAGTTGTTTGTTTGCTTTTTGGTTTGGTTTTGAGTAGACTGGGCTGGCCTCAGCTCACAGAGACCCACCTGCCTCTGCAGTGCTAGGATTAAAGGTGTGCCAAATATAGCCAAAGAGCCATGTTAAAAGCCACTGTCTTGATCTCCGAGAAGGAAGCAGGTGGTGAGAACGTGAGTCCTAAAGCTGAAGTCTCCTCCTTGCCTGGATGTTGCAGTGTTAGATGTATTGCTGAACCTTGTGCCTCAGTTTCCTCCCTTGCAATGGGGATGACAGTGCTCAACTCTAAAGAATCAGCTAGAATTCAGTGACTTGAGGTGTGGCAGGGTATGGCAACACATGCCTTTAATCCCAGCACTCAGGAGGCAGAGGTAGGCAGATCTCTGTGAGTTTGAGGCCAACATGGTCTACCGAGTGAGTTCCAGGACAGCAAACAGCCAGGGCTACATAGTGAGATACTGTCTCAGAGAAAGAGAGAGAGAGAGAGAGGGCGAGAGGGCGAGAGAGAGAGAGAGAGAGAGAGACACCATGTGTGGCTCATGCCTGTTGCTAGAGTTTTCCTGCCTGGCCCACAGTCAGGATAAATCTCTGTCACCCGCCAGTCCCACAGCCGCTCAAACCCGACCAAGTAAACACAGAGACTTATATTGGTTACAAACTGTATGGCCATGGCAGGCTTCTTGCTAACTGTTCTTACAGCTTAAATTAATCCATTTCCATTAATCTATACCTTGCCACATGGCTCATGGCTTACCGGCATCTTCACATGCGGCTTGTCATCATGGCGGCTGACAGTGTCTCTCTGACTCAGCCTTCCACTTCCCAGCTTTATTCTCCTCCTTGTCCCGCCTATACTTCCTGCCTGGCCACTGTCAATCAATGATTTATTTACTGACCGATCAGTAACACATTTGACATACAGACCATTCCACAGCACCTCCCGTTTTCTTTTCTTAAAAAGGAAAGTTTTAACCTTTACACATCTTTAAAGTTAGCTTGGTGTATTTGGGAATTTGAGCGTAGCTTCTCTTACTACTTCCTGCTGGAGGGGGGCGCTGTATCTTATGGGGACATAAAGAATATTTTAGGGTTATGGAGTAGTCCATGAGGGTGTATCGTCTGAGCCAGTTGCCTTGAAATGGTTTTGGATGTTGGATCATCTGGGCCATGGTGTCATCGGAGACCTTTTAGGTGGTCTTGGCTGGTCAAACCTGATGTATCTTAATCTGGAACAAATCCATAGCCTCTGACTTTCTGTGGAAACAAAAGCAGAGCCTCCTTTCCAAAGCAACATATCCTTACATCTAAATTTTGAAGTCAAGGTACCTTTAAAATATACATTTTGGCATAACTTAATAGTTTTTGTAATCAAATGTTTTTTTTTAGTTATGAATATTAAAGAGAACATAATCCAGATTCTCTGTGTGGTAGCCATCTTTATGTGGCTTATTTTTTTATATTGGCTTGAGTCTATTGTTTTAAACTGTAGTCTTTTAAGCCTGAAACGGCATTGGCGCTATGGCTGTTGGCTCTGTCTATTTTAGCTTTCCAACATGGCGGTGGTACGTTTTTTGTCAGCTCTGGGAGCCATTAACTCTCAGAAATAGTGGGTTTATGTTTTTATTAAAGTAGCGTGTAGCCCAGAAATCTCTTTTTTTTTTTTTTTTGTACTAGCAAAGGCTAAATCTATCACATAGTTTAATGTGTCATTTGTAGAGGCCTCATTTTCGCCATACTGTAGGTCGAGCATGTACGCCAGGAACCCGCCATAGTAGTTCAAACACGTAGGCTGCCGCTAGCTTAAAAGAGACAACTAGGAGCTGTTTTTAGTTTTGTTTTAGAATCTTTTTACTCAGGTTTTAGGTGGAAACTCTTGTCATCATGTTGGACGCCATTTGTAGTTGGAGTTTTTTTGTCTGGCCCACAGTCAGGACAAATCTCTGTCACCCGCCAGTCCCACAGCCGCTCAAACCCGATCAAGTAAACACAGAGACGTATATTGGTTACAAACTGTATGGCCATGGCAGGCTTCTTGCTAACTGTTCTTACAGCTTAAATTAATCCATTTCCATTAATCTATACCTTGCCACATGGCTCATGGCTTACCGGCATCTTCACATGCGGCTTGTCATCATGGCGGCTGACAGTGTCTCTCTGACTCAGCCTTCCACTTCCCAGCTTTATTCTCCTCCTTGTCCCGCCTATACTTCCTGCCTGGCCACTGTCAATCAATGATTTATTTACTGACCGATCAGTAACACATTTGACATACAGACCATTCCACAACACATGCCTGTGGTTTTAATGTACACAAGCTCTTCCTGTGTGTTGGCATGTTCACATTGCTCTGTGATTTTCTGTGTTTTTATGGGTATTTCCCTGCATGTTTGTGCACCACATGCCTGGAGTGTTCTTAGAGGCCAGAAGAGGGTGTTGGATCCTCTGGAACTGGAGTTGCAGTCAGCCACCTTGTGGGTGCTGGCCACCAAACCCTGGTCCTCGGAAGAGCAGCCAGTGCTCTTAACTGCTGAGCCGTCCTCCAGCTCTTGTTGGACTTCTTTTCTGTGTTTTCCAAATGCAGCTCACGATTATGAGAAGTCGCCCAACCAAAGCAGCAGGAAGAGGTCATGGTGCAGCCCCAGCAGAAGTGGGAGGGTGTCAGACCTGCTGCTTGTGCTAAGTGCACACGTGTGTCCCTAGGTATCCGTCCTCAGCTGGAGCCCCACGTCCCTCTGCGTCCTTCACTTTCTTTGGGTAGCTGGCAGCAGCAGCTTGCACTTAACCCACCTATTTCCTTCAGTCAGCTATCTCCTACCCTCTTCTCATTTACCAGACTGTTCTTTGTTTTTTCCAGGCTGCAGTGCAGATCTTCCGAGCAAGAAGCTCAGAGAAGTCAAGAGAATCAGTGTCTACTTCCACCACAGGGCACTGAGATGCCCACTGGGTCATGCGCCAAGGAGGCTGTCATCACAGAATCCGTTGGCAACAGGAAAGCTGTAGGTGGATGAGCTCAGGGAGGCCTTCTGGATGCCATGTGGTAACTACAGGGTACTTTGACTTGTCCCTACCCTGAAGTTAAGGTGGCTACATCACATCATTCACCAGCGACCATTAGTTCTGGCTCACTGTCAGCCTACCAGACAGTCCCCAGCACCAGCTCTTTACTTCAGTGAGACACACTTCAGCCTCCCTGGAACAAACTAAATGCTCAGAACCTTCTAGATGTCTTGAGATGTGTCCTGGGGCAATGAAGAGCACTCCAGCAGTGTATTGGGATTCTAATTACAGAAGCATACTCAACTGCAGCTAGAAATTTCTGAGAGGTACGAGGCAGCTCCACCTGGCAGCACCTCAGCTGCTACCTCTGGCGGGCCTTCTCCTGCAGGAAGGGCTCTGACCAGCACAGCTGCTGCTCAGCCTCACTTAGAGCTGAGAGCACTATTGGGGCCTGACGACAAGCAAGTGAACGAGAGCTCTGAGCTGCATTAGCATCCGTTCCTTCGGTCTCCTCCGGCCAAGTGAGACGTCAGAAGCCACCTCTAGGGAGAATCAGAAGTAGCCCTGGACTAGGCCCAGGACTCTTCTGTTGAGGAGACCACTGGTTTAGACTTGATTCTAGCTGACAACTTCAGTTCCTGGAAGTCTGTAGCTCCAGGGCACACCTGGGCTCCATTCCTCCTTGATCTTGGATCCATCCCAGTTTGACATCAAGACACGATCATTTCCTGTGCCAGTGAGTTCGGATGCCAAGATGCCCTGAAGAGTAAGGCAAGACCAGGGCCCTGGGAAGAAAGGCTGTGTACCCTAACTCAAGGGACAGATGCTCTGTGGCTTCAAGGGAAGATTTGGGGGAATGGGGTCACCTCTGGTGTGGACCTCAGGTATAGTGCAGACAAGGAGACTAGCCTATGTGCTACATTTACCCTAGGCCAAGAGATGGCTCCCACTGTCAGCCTACCCCTTCTAGAACTTTGCGCCTGTGGAGTTGGGTGTTTGCTTTCTCCTGGTTCCTTCTGAAGGAAGACAAGTAGATTACCCTCTCCTGACTCAGATCCCCTGGGACTGATGCTTTCCTGTGGCAACTCCCAGCCAACACCCAGGTGAGGCATTGCTCTGTAGCTGGGCCTGCAGGCATTTGGCTCTGGACCTGAAGGGGATTCTTGGCTCCTGTGAACTGGCAGCACCCAACTGGCCTGTCCACACCTCACCTCGGCCACATCAGCAATCTGGTGGAACCTCATCTTTCTTGTATCTGGCTGGGGCAGAGACACCTGTGTGTCCTAACGCCCTGTACATTCCCTGCAGGGTGTCTCCTGCCCTCCTGTGCTAAATTGCAGTGAGTGGTAAGTGGTAAGCAGCTTTAACCTATTGTGTTGGAGCAGATGCTGTCCCCAACCTGGTGTTTCTGTGTCACAGTCGTGAACTCTACTTTGATGTGAAACATCCTTGGTGCTGTGTCAGTGCTGTGCACATTGGACTAGCCAGTCTGTTTGCTGTGCACTCGGTGGCATCCTTCGTATGTGACCCCTCTGCTCCATGGACAGCCACACTGATCTCCTCATTGCCTTCCAGTTGCTGCCATGGTTTTGTGAGCAAATGCTGTTGCTGCTGCTGCTGCTGCTGCTGCTGCTGCTACTGGATGTCTATTTTCTCATAAAAGTAAATGTGTTTTCAACCTGCTTTCTGTGCTCTGTCAGGTGCCCTGCATTGTGGAGGGATGCCCTCAAAGAAGCCACTAGCTTTCTCCACTAGGGACCCTGAGCTGCAAGACCAGGGTCCCAGCTGGTCACTGCTTCTCGAGAGTGTCTAGGATGCTCCAGTGACCAAGCTCATGAGAGTATAATGTGTAAAAGTCGTCACTGCTGTACATTGGGGTGAGGGTAGAGGCTCTACAGCAGCAAGACATCCTCCTGCCTTTTTGACCCCAGATACTAGAACTCTAGGTTAGTGTTTGGTTAGTGGTTCAGTGCCTGTAGTAGGGACCCTGAGGGAAACCTGGGAATCATCCATTCATTCTCCATTTAGGGCAGGTGTTCTCAACAAGGGGTGATCTTGCAAGAGACACTTAGCAGGGCCTAGGGACAGTTTTGTTTGGAGGATCTGATGGGTAGAGGCAAAGATTTGGCCAAACTTCATAGTATACAGGTCAACCCCACCACAGTGGGGAGTGCTGGTGCCGTGTTGTTACTCAGGAAGCTAGGGACCGAGTTGGGCTCCCAGTCAACAGAAACACAAGAAGAACCCTTTTCTTTTCTGATCCATTCTGCAGCCCCAAGACTAACCTTAAAATGAAGTAGAAGGGTCACTTTAACTTTCTAGATCTGAGATAACAATAGTGAGATCCCTATCTCAAAAATGGGATGGGGTGAAGCTGGAGGTTTATCCCAGTGTTGAAATACACAGCGTACTTGAGATGCTGATTTACCAGTTGCTCTTCAAGAGGACCATGTTTGATTCTCAGCACCCACATGGCAGCTCGCAGTCATCTTAACTCTAATTCCAGAGGCTCTGTCTCCCTTTCCTGCTATCCATAGGCCTAGGCATGCAAATGGTACACAGACATACAAACAGGCAAAACAGCCATATACATATGACAAAAATTTAAAAATACATATCCCTCCCTTTGGAGGGTTTCAGTGCCTCCCACTACACTTAGAATAAAATCCTAGTTCTGAAATGGCTTTAGGACTGTTGTTTTGTCTAATCTTGCCCATCTTCTTCCATTCTCCCTTGCTTACCATATTCCAGCCTGCCTGCTGTCTCAGGTCCAGATGACTGGTGATACTCTTCCCATACCTCAGGACATTTGCACACATTACTTCTTTTGAATACTCTTGCCTCTCCCTACCACCTTCTCTCCCTCCTTTGATAGCACCTCCCTAGGTTATATTGGGCATCAGGCCTCCACTTGTGGGGTATACACCAGAGAAGACTAGGACATGGGTTTAAGTCAATAGAAAGTCTTTATTAGCTAGCCGGCACCTACACTGTGTTCGGGATCCCAGTTAAGCATCGAGCCTTCCTCAGGTTGAGCTTTTCAGCACAGAAACCATGTTCTGAGTGGAGATACTTAAGTTAACAAGACCAGTTAGCCAGAAGCAGAATTACAGAAGCCAAAAGGCAAGGTTAGTCATTTAGAGACTTTCCCAGAACTATGAACTTTGATGGATGAGGTCTTTGTTTTTGTTTTGTCAAGTGGTGCTGTCTACGTGCTGAGTTTTATGGCCTGAATGGTACTTCCATCCTGAGCCAGCTGTGCTAAGGTTTGGGGGCCTGTTACATTCCTCACTGGTCTCAGTGAATGAGTCAGATCGTGGACTCATCCCACTCTAAAGAGGTAGAGTTGGTCCTAAGGATCATTAATTTTACCAAATTGTTACATAATTGGCCAAATAGTTTAAGGTGCAGGGGTCCACCATTAATCCAGTCAGAGTGAGAATTAAGGGCCCAGGTGGTGCTGACAGTGTGATGGCTAAAGAAACTGTTTTCTGCTAGACAGCCGTCTTAGTACCCACTAGCCATTTGTCTGACTCCAGGCCCTGGGAGATAAGTTCCCCATAACCCTGACTCAGTGACTCCACCCAGAAATGTACAGCCCGGACCATCTACTTGTTATGCTATGATTTTGTTGGCTTCTGTAACCTGCTTGTGCAGACATTCAAGGACTATTTTGAGTTCTCCTTGGCTGCCTAATCTTGGCAGAGCAGAACAGCTCCTGGCTTGCTTGTGCAGATACTTGAGGTCTTCTTGTGGGTTTTGCCTTTTAGAATCCTTCCCTCACCCGCTTCGCACAGCAGCCTCTAGTTTGGCTCAGAGATTTTTGTCCTGCTAGCGGTTTCAATAAATTCAACTAATTATAATCCGGATTGAGTCTGTGGTCTTTTCCTGGGGGTCTCGAACTCCATAATATTTGGGGGCTCGTCCAGGATCTCTGGTAGACCCCAGACTACAGATGGTGGTCTTGGGATAGGCCCTAAGTTGGGGTGAGTCTGAGGTGGACTTGGAAATCCGGGAGAGCCCGAGACCGTGGCTGCCACAAATTAAGGAGTCACTAATTGGGGACACACCCCAAACGGGCAAGAACCACAACTTGGAGACCCTAGGGGTGAACAGGCCCTAGATGGGGGCAAGCACATTGTGGACTTGGAGGCCCACAGGACCCCAAGACTGTGACTACTGCAAATTTGCAAATTCCCAACATTCTGGAGGCAGAGGCAGGTAAATCTTTGTGAGTTTGAGGCCAGCATGGTCTACAGAGTGAGTTCCAGGACAGCCAAGGGCTGTAAAAAAACCCTGTCTCAAAAACAAACAAAAACCAACCAAACAAAAAAAGGTAAAAAGTTGCTGGCTAATGTGCATTTGAAACCCACACCAATTAGTGAGTTCTGTTCTGGAAGTCCTGACATCTGGGGTGACAGGAGAAATCAGACGTGATCATAGACCCAGTCTCCAGATACAGAATAGGAGACATCCTCCTGCCCCCTGGTTCTGGTGTACGAGTGAAGGGAGCTTCCACATGTCTGTGTTTATCTCGTCTCTGACCGTGTGACATTCTGGTTTGCTTTTGTCTGTGGATTTATGTTTTCTGATGTGCTCCTAAGTTTTGTTTCAGACATGGGAGCTGGACCGAGCATGGCTAAGACCCCAAGAGGTTGCATACTGCATCATTTTTTTTTCAGGATTTCCACAAGACTGACTGACTGCTCCTGGCTACCTCCACACTACACCACCATCATCTTGTTCTGTCTCTCTCATTGGTTCAATGAGCCCGCTGTTTAAGTCCTGTGGGTTTCTCACAGATTGTTATCTCGGAGATTTCTTTTCTGCTTGCTCTGGTCAGTGGATTCAGTTTTGCAGGGGTTCAGGTGTGCAATTGGACTTTGTCAGGCTGCTAGCTCCCAAATAATGACATGGAGACTTATTATGAATGCTTGGCCTTTAGCTTAGGCTGGTTCCCAATGAGCTCTTATAAAATTAACCTACATTAATTTTTCTATTAATCTACATTCTGCCACATGGCCTTTTACCTCTCTCCCATTCTGTGTGCCCGACTCTCTCGGTGTCTCCCTGGCATCTCTCGTGCCCTAGATTCTTCCTGAGTTCCTCTCTTTCCCAGAAGTCCCGCCTATTCTCTCCTGCCTAGCTGTTGGCCATTCAGTTCTTTGTTAAACCAATCACAATACACATCTTCAGACAGTTGTAAACAAGTATCTCGCAACACAGATGTCTTTGGGGTATGGATGATGTTGAAGTATTATTTTATGCTGTTCCACTTTATTAAAAAGCTGGCTCTGAGCTGGGCGGTGGTGGCGCACGCCTTTAATCCCAGCACTCGGGAGGCAGAGCCAGGCGGATTTCTGTGAGTTCGAGGCCAGCCTGGGCTACCAAGTGAGTCCCAGGAAAGGCACAAAGCTACAGAGAGAAATCCTGTCTTGAAAAACCAAAAAAAAAAAAAAAAAAAAAAAAAAAAAAAGCTGGCTCTGGACTTGGATTATGGCCCTCCTCTCCTGACCCAAGCATGCCTGTTTAAAAGTTTCCTCTAAAATCTCTGTCTTGGGTCAGACAGGTCTTCTGCCTCTGACAGGGAAAGGAAAAACAGCCCAGGAGAAGACACTCAGTGCTTCAAAACAGCTGGAGTGACTATTCCAATAGGAATTGCTGCTGTTTATCTCACACCCCTTTTCTTGGTTTTACTTAACTCCAACTTTTGCTAAAATATAAATTCATCTCAAGATTGTAAGACTATTATATCAACTTTCTGTGCCTTGAGGTTTGTAAGTGTATTGGATATGGTTAAACATCTGTAAAGAAAACAAAAGCAGGGCTGGAGAGATGGCTCAGAGGTTAAGAGCACTGACTGCTCTTCCAGAGGTCCTGAGTTCAATTCCCAGCAACCACATGGTGGCTCACAACCATCTGTAATGAGATTTGGTGCCCTCTTCTGGCCTGCAGGGATATATGCTGTATATGTAATAAATAAATACATCTTTAAAAAAAAAAGAAAAGAAAAGCAACCTGATGCCAACATTTCCTGAGTTCCCATAGTTGTCTTGTTTTTAAGGTTTTCTGCCTAATGGCCTCTAGGTTACAGGTACTTAAGTTATTCTGCAACCTGACGACTTTATAAAAAAATACTTCTGAAGCTTTTCAAGTCGTCTGCCTCCATCTGCAGACACACACAAACTGGTTATAAAGGAAAATTAAACCCTCTGTCTAAAATCCCTCATTAGTAACTCCAGATATGAGTTGAGCTTGTTGAAAGTTAGTATTAAAGGTGTGATGGCGCATGCTTCTAATCCCAGCACTCAGGAGGCAGAGGCAGGCAGATCTCTGTGAGTTCAAGGCCAACCTGGTCTACAGAGCAAGTTCTAGGACAGCCAGGGGCCACACAAAGACACCCTGTCTCAAATTTAAAAAAGTTACTATTCCTTCTAAAAGGACGAAATAGACCAGGTCACTGGGCCTTCACCTGAGCATCCAGGCGCTCCATCCTCCTAATTTATGCACTTAGGCCCAAACTGCATGAAGCCTCAAGGTTTTCTGGAAAAGCTAAGGCTTACAGGCTACAAACTAACAAGGATGGGGCCACCTCTGCAGCAGTGGGAAGGCTGTTAAACATACTGGGTAGAGGCTGCAGGTACTGTCTGACACCCCCTTAGGAAAAAGTCCTTACAACAAATGGTATATTTATTTGCTACTATTGTGTCTTATTTAGTTTTTATTTAAATTTTTAATCAAAAAAGACATAATAAAAATTAAAATGGCTAACTGTAATTACAGGTGTCTAGCTCTGACTTCTCCTTCTCTTGGTTCTTTTTTGTCTTTTTCTTTTTTTTTTAATTTTCCGGAGCTGAGGACCGAACCTGGGGCCTTGTGCTTGGTAGGCAAGCGCTCTACCACTGAGCTAAATCCCCAACCTCCGTCTTTTTCTTTTATGTGCACATTTGACTGGGTGAGGATGTTGGACCTCCTGGAACTGGAGTTACAGACAGTTGTGAGCTGCCATGTGGGTGCTGGGAATTGAACCCGGGTCCTCAGGAAGAAGAGCAGCCAGTGCTCTTAACCACGGAGCCATCTCTCCAGCCTCATTTTTGTTGGTTCTTGTTAACAAAAAAAAAAAAAAAAAAAAAGTGCCCCCATTCAAGGTCATGTATATGCAGAGCTCTTGATAAAATGTAAGACCAGTGGGGAAGGGTGGTGGCCTGTAAAATTCCAAGCAAAAAATTGCTTACCGATTAAGATTTCCAAATTCCTATGGTTATAGCAGTCTGCTCAGGGTAACAGAAACTGACTTAGATAAGTATGCCTAGCTACTTACGTCTTTGCTAACTGTGTTCAACACCAGGCTTCTAAAAATTTTTAGATTAAAAAAAAAGTTTGGGCCGGGCGGTGGTGGCGCACGCCTTTAATCCCAGCACTCGGGAGGCAGAGGCAGGCGGATCTCTGTGAGTTCGAGGCCAGCCTGGTCTCCAAAACGAGTACCAGGAAAGGCGCAAAGCTACACAGAGAAACCCTGTCTCGAAAAACAAAAACAAAAAAAAAAACAAAAAAAAAAAGTTTGATAAGTAGGATATATTTGATAAATAAGTTTTATAAACTCCTTAGGCCTGCTTGGGCTAGCAGAAACTGACTTAAAGATATCGGTCTAGTCTCTGTCTTTGCTAACTTTGTTAAGCTTTAGCTATTTGGATAAACTGAGCCATTCGGAAAAACTGTGATACAAAAAGATTTAAAAAAAAAAAAAAAGGCTCTCAATCTCTCCGTGGACTGTATTTATGTTTGTAAATTTCCCAGTCCCTTATGGACTGTATTTATGGTTTAAAGTTTTATTTTACTGCCAGAGGATTTTCAATTAAATCTTCAATTCAAAATTTGAAGGTTAAAACTTAACAGGGATAAAACTGTAAAATCTTAATCTTGTAAAAGTTGCTAACTTGTTGTAAACTGTTACAGATAATTAAGATATGCAAGGCAATGGTCAGTCACCTAATAAAGGATCAAATTCTTGAATGTGCCTAGACCGTTTTTATAGTCACGCTAAGTCATTCATTTACAGTATGACAAGCTTTAGCTTAACATGTATGTTTTCAAGGTTAAGCCTAAAGCAAGTAACTGAAAAAGTAATGGTTAGAGTTCTGCCAACGGCTGGTCTCTGAGCCAGGGAAGCCGTCAGGGAGGTCTTCTAAACATAATCACAGAAAGGGTAAATTCCCTCTATTTGGGGTGCGGTGGGCCAGAAGCAAAGGAAGGAAGTCTACACACCCTTTGCTGAACTGAGTTTTATGAGGTTTTTTGGGTTTTTTGTTTGGTTTTTGAATGTCCTGTTTGTTTGGATTTTTGTTTGTTTATACCTGCCCAGAATTCTGAGGTCTGTAAACACAATGGAATCGTTTTGTTTGAGACAGGATTTCTCTGTGTATGTAGCCCTGGCTGTCCTGGATTTTGCTCTGTAGACCAGGCTGGCCTCAAACTCAGAGATCTGCTTGCTTCTACCTCTTGGGATTAAAGGTGTGCATCCCCACTGGCTGGGGATGTTTTTTATCTGTGTCTAAAGCTTTAGCTAGTAATTGAGAGGTTTTGGCTATGAAAGCCAGGCCATTGTTGGGCCCCATTGCTGGGGGGGTGGGGGGAGCAGGAGACAAAGCAGGGGACCAGTTCCTGGAGGAGCTTTTAAGCTATTTGAGCAGTTTTGGTCTGGATGGGGAACATGTCTACCCACCCAGAAAAGGTACCTATAAAAACTAGCAAGTACTTGTATACTCCCCTGGCAGGCCTGATCTCAGTGAAGTTGTTTTCCCAGAGTTCACTTTCATCTGGACCCCTTCCTGGGTGAGAGCTCTCTGTTTTGGGTTTACTTGAGCACAAACCTGGCATCTGGCTGAGAGACATCCTGAGCCAGGGTGTCCAGTGTAGGTGTAACAGACCTTCATCTGAGCAACTCAGAAAGTTTTGTGGACCCCAGATGAGTAGCCTGGTGAAGGTCAGTTCCTAGAGTCCTGCCAATTGTTTCTGGGAGAATGATCCTAGAATCTTGCCCTCTGGTGTCCTCCATCCACCTGTGACTTTGAGCTGTCCATTTGTTGGCATGCCCCTTTTTTCTCTGGGTTGTACCACGGAGTCTCAGGCAACAGTGGGTCGGGGAATGTCACCGGAGTATCACTAGGCCCCATTGGTTTTTGTCAGGCAGCCTGGTTACCTCCTGCCTCAGGGGAGTCATCTTCTTATGTTCTCAGGAGTGGATAGCAGTTCATAGGGAAAGCCAAAGAGCCTGTAGGAGGGCCCAGATTTTCTCTACCCCACTCCACCCCCAGTGGTAAGAAGCCCTCTTTTTCTGTAGATCATACCATGGGCATGCAAGGTAGTAAACGCAGAGCGAATGTCTGTGTATAGTGTGATGGACTTTTCCTTTTCCCCAGTCTGATCAATCTGTTCTGCTCTCTAGGCTGAGGTGCCTGGCTTGGGCCAAAATGGCTTCAGTTAAAGTAACTATGGCAGCCCTCATGTAGCTGGTTTCAGCTTTCACCTTTCTGTGACAATCATGGAGGAGCACCCGTGGGTCATTAGCGGACAAGAGGATTAGCAGGGTTGATGGCAGTGGGTTTCTCAAACCAGACTTGATGGCTGTGGTGGTTTGAAAGAAAATGACTCCCATAGGGAGTGGCGCCGTTGGGAGGTATGGCTTTGTTAGAGTAGGTATGGCCTTGTTGGAGGGAGTGTGTCACTGTGGGGGTGGGCTTTGAAGTCTCTTATATTCAAGTAAGCTTGGTGTGGCACACAGTTGCTTCTTCTGCTTGTAGATCTCCAGCACCATGTCTGCCTACATACTGCCATGTTTCCCGCCAAGACAATAAATCTCTGAAACTGTAAGAGCCCCAATTAAATGTTTTCCTTTATAAAAGTTGCCTTGATCACAACAATAGAACCCCTAAGACAAGGGTGGACCAGGAGTAGGGCCTGGTACTGAATCACATATAAGATTTCTAGCTACACCCCCATGACCGAGCATGTGCTTAGTCATTGGGGCGGGTGTGTGTGTGTGTGTGTGTGTGTGTGTGCTTACATCCTACGTATTCCATGTGCGCTGCGTGGTCACGTAATTTGTGCATCATGATCACATAGTCTATGTGCATGTGTGGCGTAGCTATGAAAGCCCATATGCACATACATGGGGCGGGAGGGGGGCGCAGGGAGGGAGTCCATAAAAGGCAGATCCCATGTACTGTCTGTTGGTTTTAAAAAATAAGCGGAGCTGGTTACCGTGCGAGGAAAGGTCAGAGGCACGACAAAGCCCAGTGTCAGAGCTTTATTAGGAGGAAGTGGGGAACAGAAGAGAGTGTGGCCAGGCCTGGGGCAGAGACACATGCAGGAGAGAGGGAGGGGTTGGGGGAGGAAAGAGCAGAAGAGGAGGGAGGCGTCTGTGTCCGGCTTTTTAAGGATTCCCCTGCACATGCGCAGGTGGGCTTACCGAGCTACGCCACTCATGCACTGATTGCATGACCATGCTGCGAGCATTTGCACAATCACACAGCGCACTGATAACTGAGACCCCTTACTTAGCTACTGAACTGTGCATGTGCGGTCATATAGCTGGAGGGGCAGGATCCTAACACTATCCCCCTCTTCTTCCTGCACAAATCTTTCAGTAGGCCTAAGCACACCTTTTCTGTCCCCTCTTCCTCCCAATAAACTCTTATAGTGGGTTTTGTTGTGCCTCGTGACTTTTCTTGCATGGTAAACAGCGCCACATAATAACTAACACTAGGCATTAGACAGCCACTGTTCCGGTGTTCCTGAGAGAGCCTCGACAGTGTGGGGTCTGTGAGTGTAAGATCCTGACCCAGAGTTAACTTGTTTCATTAGACCAGGAGGTAGCCACCACAACTCTTAGACAGGTGGGCCATCCTGTGGCTACAGAGTCCAAGCCTTTGGACAGGTATATCACAGGGCACTTCCATGGCCCCAATTTTTGGTTAAAAACCCCCTTTGCCATGTCTTTGTTCCATGGACAAACAGATGAAAAGGTTTTGAGACATCTAGAAATGCTAGGGCAGGAGCCAAAGTCAGAGCTGCTTTTAAAGCCTCAAATACCTTTTGTTTAGTCTCAGTCCGGCTTAGGGGCTCAGTGCCCCCGCCCCCTTGTGCTGGTGTATACAGACCTAGCTATTTCCACAAACTCTGGGGTCCAGAGGCAGCGATATCTGTCCACACCTAAGGACTCTCGAACCTGCCTCTTAGTCTTTGGAGCTGGGATCTGAAGGATGGCAGCAATCCTACTCTGAGACAGGCTCCTTTTGCTCTCCTCGGCGGGTACACAGGTATTCTCTAATGCACAGTCAGGGGCTTTCTTAGCCGACATTATGTACCCCAAGATCTGTAACTCAGCAGTCCCTCACTGGCCCTTATATAACTCATTTTAGCTTTAGAGGTTAGGAGGAGGTATGGTAAGAGTATATATTGTAAGAGTGTGGTCCCAGGAAACCTCTGGTGGAAGAGCAGGAGGTCAGCATTTAATGTCTCATCAAATAGGGTTGGAGAATTTTCAAATCCTTGGGACAACCTGATCCAGGTAAGTTGCTCACTGTAAACACTCTCTGGGTCTGTCCATGTAAAAGCAAACATGGGTTGACTCACCTCTGCCCATGGGAGGCTGAAGAATGCATCCTTCAGGTTCAGGACTCTGTACACCTGTTTCTCTGGAAGAATCAGACTCATGAGAACCAGAGGTCCCAGGTTTCTTCACAGGCAGGAGAGGTGTGTTCCAGGGTAACTGGCAGGGCACCAGGATGCCTGTTTCTCTAAACCTGGCAATGTGGACCACAGCTTCCCTTTGTGTTTCCAGGGTCACTGGGTGTTGTTTAATCTGCATGAGCAGCTGAACTGATTAGCTGAATGATTATAGGAAGCTGGTGTTGGGCCAGTCCTGGGGGGTTGATTTTTCCCATCCCCCAGGAGTCTTTGTTGTCAATCTGAGAGACAAGTCCAAGCATATCCTTTGTTGGGGGCAGGACGGCAGGACTTTAAGCTAGGAGATATTCTTCTGACAGAGGCAGGACACCAACATTTTTCTGGGTATGTGTAAGTCTAACTGTGTCTCATCATCAGAGAAGGTGACAGTGGCTTTCAGTTTATGCGAAAGTTCTCATCTCTCAATCTGTTCTCTGTTGCTAAACCCCTTTGAGCTACCTCCAGCAACTGGGACCTTTTATACCTTTAAAAGTTTTAACTTTTATATTAACTAATATATTGACTAATGTCTGGGGCTGACTGGGTGACAAAGGAAATCTTTTCAGCAGCTGTTACTCTTTCTAAAAAGGACCTGGTAAAAATTGTTTAAAATCTCCTCAGTCAGCGTTGGACAGAAGGGAAAATCCACTCTATCCAGGCTGCGTTGTCCAGCAATGATCTGCGCCCACCCCACCCCACCCCCAGCCTGGGGGCAGTTTTTCTACTTTTTTTTCCCAGAGAATGATGAGTTTTGGTTGAAATGGAGACATAAATCATGAGAGAAAGGAAGGAGTGGAGCTTCCTTTTTTCCCCTTCCTTGGGGCTGCTTAGAACAGGCTGGGGAGCAGAAGGAATACACCTCAGGGAAAGTATTTCTCTCTCCCTGTGTGCACTCTGCTTGGATGGCAGAGGGCTCTGGATGAGAGGCCTGGCGCCTTCCCGCCTCCACACAGGAATCATGAGCAGGAGTCAAGGATGAAACAAACCAGTGAGCGTCAGGGAGTGGGACAGGCAGAGGCTTTGGGGGTGTTGTTGTTGTTGTTGTTGTTGTTGTTGTTTTGTTTCTAGGTTTCTCTGGGCAACCTAGCAGAACCAAAAGAATTCAGGTCTCCAACAAGAGGCACAGTTCTTAAATGGTGTGTGTGTGTGTGTGTGTGTGTGTGTGTGTGTGTGTATGTGTGTGTGTGTATGTGTGTGTGTATGCTACACCAGAGAAAGCCACTGGTCAATACGAGAAAACAGAACTCACAGAAACAACAGCAAGACAAACAAATACACACACACACACACACACACACACACACACACACACACACACAGAGTACAGACAACCAGGGGTAGCCACCATACAGTCATACACTTAGGAGGAATCCAGTGATGTTTCACATGGATCCTGGATATAGCCATATCCGACCTTTCCTATATGTCCAAACAGAACCTCCAGAGGTGACAGACCAGGTGACATTCTAATTTGTTTCCTTTTGGGGTGGAGGTGTCACACCCCTCTGAAGCATTATACAGCAATTGATCAAAGGGAGTTCTGGGGACCTGGAACATCTCAGGTTGTGCACCCCCTAGGAGGGCCTTGACCTCTGCACTCTTCCCTGGTCCAAGGGCATCTGAGACCCCACAATGTTTCAGTCTGGCCTCTGGGGATCTCTGTGGGACCTCCAGAAATGTTGTAGAATATCCATCAGAAAAGACTGCTTGGACATGGGTTTAAGCCAACAGAAAGTCTTTGTTAGCTGGCCTGACAGCTACACTGGGTGTTCAGGATCCCAGTGTCGCCACAAGCCTTTCTCAGGGTGAGTTTTTAAGCACAAAAGCCATGTTCTGGGTTGACACACTTCAATTAACAAGAACTGTTAGCCAGAAGCAGAACTCCAGAAGCCAAAAAGCAAGGCTGGTGCATTTAGAGACTTTCCCAGAACTGTGGACTTTGATGGATGAGGTCTTTGCTTTTGTTTTGGCAGGTGGGTGGTGTCTCTGTGCTTAATTTTGTGTCCTGAAATGGTACTTCCATCATAGAGTCAGTTGTACTAAGGTCTGGGGGCCTGCTACACACTGACCAGCCGTGTGTATGGGAAGGGCTCCCAGAACCTCTTATAAGTGATGCTGGGGTTGACTAGCCCTCCTGCCTGGGGAAGCTTAGGAAGTTCATGTGATGACTGGGTGAGATGGAACCCACTCTGCACTCCCAAACACACCCTAGAGGACCAGCTGGAATCAAATTAAGCTGGGTAGTGTTCTGCTGAGTGGACAAACTGAATGTGTCCCCATTTTCTAACCTAACAAACCCAGCTGAGGCCTTTTCTACTACTTTGCATTTAAGAGTGCAAATCCAAGCACTGAGCCTGGAGGTCCTGCATCAACATCTGTGTGCAAAGGCCAGGGTCTGTCTAGGCTGAAACCTCTTCTCAGTACAGCACAGACATGTTCAGGGCAGGCTACTAGATTAGTATCTCTCCTTGGAATCTCCCTGGGTGGGAGCGGGAATGAGGGCCCTTGAACTTTAACCGCAGGGATCACAAGTGCCTGGTGTGATGGCTAAAGAAACCCCATCATTTTGTGCTAGGCATCCAATTTGGTACCCCATAGCTGTTTGTCTTTGACTCACACTCTGAAAGATAAGGTCTCCCCAACCCTGACTCCTTGTCACCCCAACCCTGACTCCTTGTCACCGCGCCCCCCCCCCCCCCCCCCATCTGCTTGCTATGATATGACTAACCGCTGGTTTGGCTTCTGTAACAGGCTTATGCAGACATTCAAGGGCTATTTTGAGGTCACCTTGACCATCTAATCTTGGCAGAACAAAACAGCTCCTGTGGTTTTCTCCTTTAAAAGCCCTTCTTCCCGCACCCGTTTCTGGGCAGCACATCTCTGATTTGGGTTAGACACTGTGGCCCTGTTAGCAGCCTTAAAATTTTTTGCTGGGAGCCGGGCCATGGTGGTGTATGCCTTTAATCCCAGCACTCTGGAGGCAGAGCCAGGTGGATCTCTGTGAGTTCGAGGCCAACATGGTCTACAGAGTGAGAACCAGGACAGGCACCAAAAGTACACGGAGAAACCCTGTCTCGAAAAACAAAAAACAAATTTTTTTTTTTGGCTTGGAGCTAGGGGTGGTGGCACACGTCTTTAATCCCAGCACTGGGGAGGTAGAAGCAAGCGGATCTCTATGATTTCGAGGCCAGCCTGGTCTACAAAGCGAGTTCCGGAACAGCTAGGCCTTTGTTATGCAGAGAAACCCTGTCTCGAAAAATATTATTATTATTTTTTTTTGCTTAGTTATAATTTGAATTAAGTCTGGAGGTCTTTTCCCGTGGTCTCGAACTCCACCTGGCAGTGGCTCAGTAACAGCGGACAGCAGCCTCCTCCATCTTTATGCTGGTGCTGGTTACGAAATCACAGCGAGAATTGTTACAACCACAAGCGAGGATGCACCCCGACAAAGTCTGCAAGACTGAGTAAGGTCAGCTGCAGTCTGTAGCAACGTGTGTGTGGTCCTGGCTGGGGCTAATTCCAATAACATCCTCTGCAGCCCAACACCCGGACTCTGACGCCTCCGTCTCTGCCGGGCTTTTCGGCTGGTGTGAAAACAGATTCTCCAGACGGATCTTTGTTGGGCCGTAGGGCAGGGACCCTCCGTGGGGAAGCCACACTAGATAAAGAAAGGCTTTGAGCGCCCAGAGGCCACCGAGGCGTGGTCCTCCGGGGTCCAGAGCGTCTCAGAATCGGGGGGCGGGGCCTCCCGGAGGCGGAGCACTTCCGGCCGATGCGCGGGCGGTCTTCTGCCGCTCGCAAGGTGAGTGATCGCCCCTCCCAGTGGGTTCAATGCGGACCCTTCGGTTCATCCGTGCGGATGTCCGTTTGCTTCCCCTGCCGAGACTTCGGTCAGCCCCGGCCCCGGGCCTTTTGAGTGGTTTCAACCTAGGGGACCCGGCAGGGTGGCGCCACAGCGTCCGCCCTGCGCCTGCACCCAGCGCCTCCGTCTTCTCCCGGCGGGTGCTGCTGCACCTCGCCCCATCTATGTTTCCTGTCATCCTTTCTGCCCGTGTCACTGAGGAAGAAAACCAGCCTCTCTCTTTGGGCTCCATACATTTATGGCAAGCCAAGTTAAGGGGAAATGTCCTCCCCTTTTAAAAAATTATCTCGGGTCGTGTAACTCAGGATGGCCTCGAACTTACTATGTAACCAAGGATGCCCTCGAACTTCGCCTCCCAAATGCTGGGATTAGAGGCATGCTCCGCCACACCCAGTTTTTGTGGTGCTGGGAATCGATCGTTGATAAGGCTCAAGGTGTCAAGCATGCTAAGCAAGCATTCAGACCAACTGAGCCTCATCCCCAGCCTAGAAACACGCCTTTCACACACACACACACACACACACACACACACACACACACACACACACACGCATTCACCTGTAGATGGTGCTGCGAGAACTCTGGGCTTGGGGGTGGCAGCCTCAGAGTCTTTGGGATCTGAGGAAAAGGTTTCCCTCTGGAGATGTACCCCTTCTTATTTTCATGAAGTCACCCCGTTATTAAAAATTAGATTTAGAGTTCTCATGCCTCACACTCCCCATAGCCAAAGCCCCAGCTGTGGTGCAGGAGTATTCTCCGGAACAGTAAGCATGCTTTTCTCTGCAAGCTGTGTTGGGAAGAACATTTAGGATGCTTTACGGAGAAGAGCTTTGGGACCGCTCTGCCTTGCTGGTGTGGCTGCCAGAACTGATGAGGGTTTCACACTGAATAGGCAAGCATGCAGACCCCTGTACCATGGGCCCTGCAACTCCCCAGGAGTTCTGCCTTTTCTTGGCAACCTTCTCTTGCTAAGTAGAACAGCTAAGCATCACCTAGGGCTGCTCAGAAGCTGACATGATGCTCTTCTTCAACAGCATTCTCCTTGGTTTCCATTTTCCTTAGGTCCCAGGTGCACACTCCTTGAGCAGGCCTCAGGAAGATGGCAACCTCAGAGGCTGCTGAGGAGGCCACTCCTGTCTTGTCACCCAGCAGTCTCTCGCCACCAGGGACACCTGGAGACCAGCCCCATGTGGCACAGCTGCACCTCCATGGGCATCCTCACGGTATTTGCCCTCTGCCCCACCTTTACCCCACGAGACTGGTCTGACCTGTGTCTTGGCCAGCTGAGGAAGGAAGGGGGCACTGGGTAGCTCTTTCAGTACTGGGGCCTCTGGGGAAAGCCCTGAGGGAGCGATGGAAGGCGGCAATAGTTGAGTCCATGCTCTAACTCCCTGGGGAGCAGCCCCCTGGGTATGTTTCTTCCTCAGTCTAGAAGGAAAAATGGCCTCAGAATGGGCCCTATGCTAGGAAGAGAAGATCCCCCCACCTCCCACCCCCGACACCATGTCCTAGGCCAGGAAGAGAGACAGCTTTCTTTCCTGGCTAATTTGGGTATGCTTGCCTCATGACTTACAGGGACAGAGCTGCCAGCCTTGCTTCCGTCCAGTGGGGTGGCCTCATCAGTCACCTGGTAAAGCTGAAGTGTAAGGGGTCCCGACCCTGTCATACCATTGGACACGCCTCAGGTCTCAGCAGTCATGTAGTCCAGAGGCTTCCTCCCCGAGGCCCATAGGAAGCATCACCGCTCTCAGGAGGTAGTGCCAGTGAGGACAAGATCCCACATGGGGACCAGCGCTCCCTGCAGGTCTAGAATTCCGGAGGCTGACACAGTGAAGCTGAGGTTTATGGAGGGCAGCTGTGCTGTGCTCTCTTAGGTGACGCCAAAGTCCAGCCACAGCTTATAGGTGGACACTCAGAGATAAGGACAGAGAGATCTCACCACAGGGGTCAACCCAAGACCAGATAGGAGCCCCAAGCCCTGTCCTGTTTGCTGCCTAGCTCCAGGAGACCCTTCTGCCTGTCCCCAGAACAATTCTTGGACAGGGCCTTACAGCACCCTGCTGTTCCTGGTGGGCCTGTGAACGACAGGAACACAAAGGGACAAAGGTGGGTTCTGGGCTAAGGTGTGGCTGTTGGTGGGAGAGATTTTACCAAGTCATAGTGGAGCCCTTGGGAAGGCCCTGAGGGTCTGGAGGTAGACGAGGGACTGGCCATCACCCCTTGTACAGATATACAGGGGATAGGTGGTCTCTGTGCCTGCTTCCTAGCTACCAGCAAGGGCAGGGCTGCCTCCCAGAGCCCCAGCTCGGTTCTGCTGCTGCTTCAGATGTGCCCGAAGGCCCACGGATTCCATTTTTGTTTATCTTCTTTTGTTTTTATTGGGAGAGAGGTCTCACAATGTTGCCCAGGCTAGCCTTACACTTGAAATCCCCCTGCCTCTGCCTCCTGAGTCTCTGGGATTACCATGTTGTCACACGCACTCCAGGCTTCTTCCAGATTCCTAAGAACCCCCGGTGTTCTGAAACCTGTCTGCAATTCTCCTGCCAGGACCTCTGGGAACCTTGGGCTCCCCCATAGGCCCGTCCAGGATCTGTAGGTCCCAGCAACCTGCAGCGTCACAGCACACAGTCATTTCAGGGTCCTTCGGGAGTAGTGTGAGGTGAGCACAGGGCAGCGTAAGCCAAGAGTGCACAGGGGTCCCCAGGGTCCTAGAGGAAAGGCTCCAAGCCACAGCCCCGTCCACCCGCTAACCACCTCCACTCAGGAGGCCTGGCTAGGCTGTAGGGGATAAAAACAGTCCTTATGGGACCTCTCTGACCTTGCAGACACAGATCAGGAGCCATGACTGGCTTCTGATGCCAAGAACCGAGAAGATGGGACCTTGGGGCAGCTGCAGGGCTGAGCGCAGTGAGCACTGATGGGTGGGAAAGAAGCCAGACCAGAGCCAGCCAGGACTTCAGCCAGCATGGGGTGAGCACAGGAGCTGTCCGGGCAGCTGGTGCCTGCCTGCAGAACTGAGGGAGAAGGTATTCCCAAAGCCAGGGCCTCAGGAGGGCTCCCTGGATGGGGAGGCCAGGGCACTGGCCCCACATCAGGCTAATCTTCTCTTTGGGGGCATAAGGAGATGCTGGTAGGTGAGGGGTGTTCTGTGTGTCAGGATCTTGGCCCCAGAGCCTTGGAGTCTGCTCTAATTTCAGGAAAGAGGGAAGGGTCAGGGATGCTTCTCTCTGGAGGGTAGGGCATGAGCCTTAGTCCCCTGCCTCCAGGCTCCCCCTGTTCCAGTCCTGAGGTGTCTTCCCAGGCAGCAGACCTGGACCTCCAAGACACAGAGGAAGTGGAGGTCAGCAGAGACACCTGGCATGGTGAGTGAGCAGCCCCTGTCCCACTCTAGGAAGCCTTGGGGACCCCCCAGTGGATGCAACCCTCAGCACTTCCCTGGATCTGCTGCCGATCAGGGCCATCCTGCCTGGGACCCTGACTGAGCCTAGCTAGCAGTTTTGTCTGCCCGCAGAGGCTGGGTGGGCGGGGTTTGACGGTGTCCGTGATGCTGAGGCCACAGCCAGCCCCTGTGGAACCGTGGGTCAGTTCCATAGGGAACCGTGAATCCTAGGCCCATCCAGACCCCATCCCTTGGGCAGAGCAGGCCTCAGAAACGCCTGTCACCTGACTTTTGTGGGGTTGGTTAGACAGGTGTCTTCCTAGCCATCTCCGCCTCTCTAAGCTAAGTTCCAAGTCTGTGCTAGCCCTTAATAGCAACCTGAACTAACTTCTCCCAGCTAAGAGAGGCATCACAGGTCTAGTTAACCACCTGTGAGGCTCCTGCATAGGCTCAGGGCCTCCAGCTGAGGGGGGCCCAGCTGCTCCTGACACCGTCTTTACAAGTCTTCTAGCCCACCCCCATCCCCTACCTTACATACACTCTCCCCAATCCAGCCTCTCCCTCCTCTTCTGAATAGTCCCCATTCAGGCGTCCCCTGGCCTCAGCTCCGAGACCACCATAGCCATAGTAGGGGGGAGGCTGGGAGCCATCTGCCATTTCTCCTTTCAGACTCCGAGTGGGAGCCTAAGAAGACTCCAGCCTCTCTCACTTCCCACAGCCCTGGAGATGGGCTGGCCTCAGATGGAAGGGCACTGAGGGGCCTCTTGAAGAGTCTTCCCAGCATGTCCAAGTGTGCAGACAGCCTGGGCCAGGAACGCACCTTGGAGCAGCCAGCAGCCCTGCCTCCAGGGACCGCGCCCTGCCCTCAGAAACGGGATGCTTGGCGCGTGGTACTCTTGCCACAGGGAGCCCCAGGGGCCGAGGACCGCGCCAAGAAGGCTGCTGAGCTGGGCAGCAGTTTGGGTCGGGCGCCACGGGGCCCCAAGCCTCACCGCTGCGAGGCCTGTGGGAAGAGCTTCCGGTACAACTCGCTGCTGCTGAAGCACCAGCGCGTCCACACCGGGGAGAAGCCCTACGCCTGTGAGGAGTGCGGCAAGCGCTTCGGGAGCTGGTGGGGCTTCATGCAGCACCACCGCATCCACACGGGCGAGAAGCCCTACGAGTGCGGCCAGTGCGGCCAGGCCTTCAGCCACAGCTCGCACTTCACGCAGCACCGGCGCGTCCACAACGGCGAGAAGCCCTACGAGTGCGGCGAGTGCGGGCACGCCTTCAGCCAGAGCTCCAACCTGGTGCGCCACCGGCGGCTGCACACGGGCGAGAGGCCCTACGTCTGCAGCCAGTGCGGCAAGGCCTTCATCTGGAGCTCCGTGCTCATCGAGCACCAGCGCATCCACACCGGCGAGAAGCCCTACGAGTGCGGGGAGTGCGGCAAGGCCTTCCGGGGCCGGTCCCACTTCCTCCGGCACCTGCGGACTCACAGCGGCGAGAAGCCCTTCGCCTGCGGCGCCTGTGGCAAGGCCTTTGGCCAGAGCTCGCAGCTCCTCCAGCACCAGAGGACGCACTACCGCGAGTAGCAGCGCACACCCCAGGAGAGCCTGTGGGCGAGCCTGCTCCTCTCGGGTGAGGTGGCAGGACGTGTCCTGTGTCCAAGTTATGATAGCTAAAGACACCGTTTTCTGCTAGGCAGCCGTCTTGATACCCACTAGCCATCTGTCTCTGACTCCAGGCCCTGGGAGATAAGTTCCCCATAACCCTGACTCGGTGACCTCCACCCGCAAGTGCACAGCCCTGACCATCCATCTACTTGTTATGCAGATGGCTTCTGTAACCTGCTTGTGCAGACATTCAAGGACTATTTTGAGTTCTCCTTGGCTGCCTAATCTTGGCAGAGCAGAACAGCTCCTGGCTTGCTTGTGCAGATACTTGAGGTCTTCTTGTGGGTTTTGCCTTTTAGAATCCTTCCCTCACCCCCTTCACACAGCAGCCTCTAGTTTGGCTCAGAGATTTTTGTCCTGCTAGCGGTTTCAATAAATTCAACTAATTATAATCCGGATTGAGTCTGTGGTCTTTTTCCTGGGGGTCTCGAACTCCATAACATTTGGGGGCTCGTCCAGGGTCCCTGGAAGACCCCAGACTCAGGGCCAGGGGTTTCAGGATAGGCTCTAAGCAGGGCGAGGCCTGGGAGAGCCTGAGACCATGGCTGCCACAAATTAAAGAGCCACTAGTGAGGAACAGGCCCTAGACCGGGGCAAGCTCATTGTGGACTTGGAGGCCTAGGCTAAACCCAGACTGTGACCACTGTAAATTTGTAAACAAAACAAGTAAGAATGGCTGGCCAATGCACGTTTGGAACCCAGACCAATTAGTGAGTTGTTCTGTTCTAGAAGTCCCGACATCTGGGGAGATAGAGGAGAGATCAGACATGATCACAGACCCAGTCTCCAGGTACAGAGTAGGAGGCGTCCTCCTGTCCCCTGGTTTTAGTATATAAGTGAAGATGGCCACTACATGTCTGTTTGTCTGGTCTCCACTGACTGCTTGGACGTTCTGTGTTTTCTGGTGTGCTTATGAGTTTTGCTGCAGACATGGGAAACCAAACCTCACCGATGCTCTCCCTCCCCACAGGTTCTCACTTCTGGAGCTTCGTTTCCCAGCTCCCTTCCCAGCTTGCTGTCTCTTGCTCAGCTTCCTCTGCCTCTAACCATGGCTGACCACGCCTTTCCTCATCTCGCCCCAGGAGCTGCCTGCTGTCTGTCCCTCTCACTGGCTGGCTCGCTGGAGCCCACTGTTTAAATTGCACAGGCACATCAGACACTTCTCTGTGCCCTCCTGTTGGCCATCCTTTCCCCTAGCTCTGCTTCTGAAGGGTCTCTTTCCAGTAGCCCACACCCAGAATGTCTTATCTCTGAGCTGACTTTGATCTCTGCTTGCCTTGGTCACTGGATTCGATTTTGCAGGAATTCAGGTGTCTTTGGGGGGGTATGGATAATATTGTTTTATGCTGTTCCACTTTATTAAAAAGCTGGCTCTGGAGTTGGGTTATGGCCCTCCTCTCCTGACCCAAGCATGCCTGTTTAAAAGTTTCCTCTAAAATCTGTCTTGGGTCAGACAGGTCTCCTGCCTCTGACAGGGAAAGGAAAAACAGCCCAGGAGAAGACACTCAGTGCTTCAAAACAGCTGGAGTGACTATTCCAATAGGAATTGCTGCTACTCCTTTTCTTGGTTTTACTTAACTCTCTCCAACTTTTGCTAAAATATAAATTCATCTCAAGATTTGTAAGACTATTATATCAACTTTCTGTGCCTTGAGGTTTGTAAGTGTATTGGATATCGTTAAACATCTGTAAAGAAAACAGCCGGGCGGTGGTGGCGCACGCCTTTCATCCCAGCACTCGGGAGGCAGAGCCAGGCAGATCTCTGTGAGTTCGAGGCCAGCCTGGGCTACCAAGTGAGTTCCAGGAAAAGGCACAAAGCTACACAGAGAAACCCTGTCTCGAAAAAACCAAAAAAAAAAAAAAAAAAAAAAAAAAAGCAACCTGATGCCAACATTTCCTGAGTTCCCATAGTTGTCTTGTTTTTATAGTTTTCTGCCTAATGGCCTCTAGGTTACAGGTACTTAAGTTATTCTGCAACCTGAAGGCTTTATGAACAGATACTTCTGAAGCTTTTCAGGTCGTCTGCCTCCATCTGCAGACACACACAAACTGGTTATAAAGGAAAATTAAACCCTCTGTCTAAAATCCCTCATTAGTAACTCCAGATATGAGTTGAGCTTGTTGAAAGTTAGTATTAAAGGTGTGATGGCGCATGCTTTTAATCCCAGCACTCAGGAGGCAGAGGCAGGCAGATCTCTGTGAGTTCAAGGCCAACCTGGTTTACAGAGCAAGTTCCAGGACAGCCAGGGGCCACACAAAGACACCCTGTCTCAAATTTAAAAAAGTTACTATTCCTTCAAAAAGGACGAGATAGACCAGGTCACTGGGCCTTCACCTGAGCATCCAGGTACTCCTCCCTCCTAATTTATGCACTTAGGCCCAAACTGCATGAAGCCTCAAGGTTTTCTGGGAAAGCTAGGGCTTACAGGCTACAAACTAACAAGGATGGGGTCACCTCTGCAGCAGTGGGAAAGCTGTTAAACATACTGGGTAGAGGCTGCAGGTACTGTCTGACACCCCCTTAGGAAAAAGTCCTTACAACAAATGTGTATTTATTTGCTGCTTATTTAAATTTTTAATCAAAAAAGACATAATAAAAATTAAAATGGCTAAATGTAATTATAGATGTCTAGTTCTGACTTCTGCTTTTCTTGGTTCTTACCAGGTATACTGAATAGACTAGAAGATGGCCTCAAACTCCTCAGAGAGCTGCTAAATAGAGCATTTAAAATGTTTAACAAGAAAAACTGGGTTGGGGATTTAGCTCAGTGGTAGGATGCTTGCCTAGCAAGCACAAGGCCCTGGGTTCGGTCCTCAGCTCCAGAAAAGAAAAAGAAAAAGAAAGAAAGGAAGGAGGGAGGAAGGGAGGGAGGGAGGGAGGGAGGGAGGGAGAGGGAGAGAGAGAGAGAGAGAGAGAGAGAGAGAGAGAGAGAGAAAGAAAGAAAGAAAGAAAAAAAGAAAGAAAGAAAGAAAGAAAGAAAGAAAGAAAGAAAGAAAGAAAGAAAGAAAGAAAAAACTTCCCATAATAGACAAAAATGCCAGCTCCTAGAGACAGCCCTAAGGTCTTCTCCAAGGAATATGATGGGGCACCGAGAACTCCATCTGGATTATGGTGACACTAACCACTGAGCAAATAATTGCTCCATGCTGTGCCCACCCCCAGGACCCTTTCTGAACTGTGGACAAACTGGAGAATTGACTGCCGCTCTTTGCCTGGCCAAGGTAGGCCAACATCTCAAGTTCCTCATTCACAGGAATGTCTCTCAGAACTTTTGAGCCTGGCACCTTAAGGCTGATGCTACCCTGTACAGACCTTTTCTTTTGGGTCCACCAACCAGCTCCCAAATCTTGACAGAGACTTATTAGTTTTGAATGCTTGGCCTAGTTTAGGCACGTTTCTGGCTAGTTCTTTTAACTGTTTCTCTTGATCTACCTTTTGCCTTAGGGCTTTTTACTTTTTCTTACTTTCTTGTCCTCTCTCTGTCTGGCTGACTAGCCCTGACTAGCCCCGAGCATCTCCTCTCTTCCTCTCCTGCAGATCTTCTCACCCGAGCCTAGCTTTCTCCTTCTATTTATTCTCTCTGCCCACCAGCCCCACCTGTCCTCTCTCTGCCTAGCTATTGGTGGTTCAGCTTTATATTAGACCAATCAGGAGTCTTAGGCAGGCAAGGTGAAACAAATGCAATACATCTTTACATAATTAAACACACATCCTTACATCATTAAACAAATGTAGCATAAACAAATGTAACACCCCTTTACACAATTAAAGTAATATTCTGCAGCATAAACAAATGTAACATATCTCTGCCTAGTTAAAATATTACGCAACACTATCCAGGGTGGCAGCCAAAGTTAGGGCTGTCCTGTGTGATGACCAAAGACTGAAACCACCTGACCTCTGCTTCTAATGAAACCATTGAGATCATCATGGAGGAGCTTCAGGTAACCATCCAGGTAGTGGGTAAGTCTGTCGTTTTAATTGATAGAGAGGCCATCTGGATGATACTTCTTGCTCAGATTTAGCCTTATCAGATCTCTGATGATGCTGAGGGCTAACTGAGCTTTGTCAGTTGACAACAGCAAGGACCCAGTCCCCTCCCCCACACACAGCTGCAACTGCCTACTTAGTCCATTTAATATGTAAAAATCAGGCCCTTGCTTTTTCTAGGGCCACTAAATCTCCTAAAAAAGGCAAACTTCACACTAAAAGAGATAAACTCTCAAAACAGATTTCAGTGTAACTTTTACTATTTATTTTATTTATTTATTTTTTCAAGACAGGGTTCTTTCTCTGTGTAGGCCTGGCTGTCCTGGTTCTAGACTTTCAACACCCCTGCCAAACTTCAAAGTTCCAACCAGTCAAGCAGCCATGTATAATTTCCGCATAGGTGTGCCTTTTCCCTTCATTTAGTCCAGAGTGTCCTGAGCCCTGGCTCACTCTGTAGACCAGGCTAGCCTCAAACTCAGAGATCTGCCTGCCTCTGCAGGTGTATGCCACTACCACCCAGCAAAGCTTGCTTTTCAATGACTGCTCTCAGTAATTAGCTACCTATGTTTCATGGTAAATAACTGGATTAAAAAAGCATTTGGAGTCTATAAAAGTTTTAAGAGTCTAGAGAAATGATTTAGGGTATATAAATGCAAGTTGTAAAGGTCTAAAAAGTAATTTAGAGTACATAAAAAATTTTAAAGTTTCAGATTTCTTGCTTGCTGTGCTCTTGTTATGCGAAGAGTTCGGAAGTTCGGAGTTTTAACATTAATCAATGGAGTTCTAATAAGCTATCAATCTAGCTCTGGAAAAGCACTGACCACTATTATCAGAGTCACAAGCTCCATTTCTTAAATGTTCTTTTGTTGTTTTCTCAGTGTAGACTTAGCATTTCTCGCTGTGCTGCAAACATTGCTGACCAGTCTATACACACCCAGCCCTGTGGACAGAGGAAAGTGTTCATGCTGTTAACCCAGAACCAGCCTTCTGGGTCCCCAGGTGCTACGGCTCAAAGGCGGGAGTCTACTCCAGCTGTTTACAGACATTGTTAACTGCTTTTTCTGCAACAGGTATTTCAATTCAGATTACAACCAGTGGTGATGCTTATATATCTAAAACTTAAACAATTCATGTGAGCTTCAGAGTCTCAACTCAGATCCACCTGTCAAACAGACTCCAGGTAAGTATTCCTGTCACCAGCCTAAGCTTCCATTCCTAAAGTCTGTATCTGTCCCAGCAGATTTCCAATCAACTACACACTACAATCTGCTCCAAAACTACCAAGAGCCCCATACCTACTGAAATCTGAGGTAAACCAGATGTTTCTAACAAAATTTCCTACCAGCTTGAGCCCCACTTTGGGCCAGCATTCCAGACTGCTCCAAAACTACCTGCACTTTGATATCT